TAAATGTAGACAAAAAATTAATGAGCTCACGAATATTGCCTATAACTAGGGTGTGGGAGTGGGTGCGTGTTAGTATGGGTGAGTGTAGGGTGTGGGTGTTGTTGAAGATATCCATACAGTCACACCCACATCCACACTCACACTCACACCCCACACCCTAATCTCTTTTCTTGGAGAGTGTGGATACTGCTGTTTTAGTGCGGTTTATATAGATTTTCGTTGAGTATTACTGTGTGGGTATCGGTTTGATTGGATGAATTTATGGCAAAAAGTATCACACAGACGCGTATGGTATTGTTTAGAACGACACTGATGCAGATATAAATATCCACACTCACACGCAACCTTGTTCAAACCATGGATACTAGTTTTTTTAGCGCTGTAGAGCAGTATATAATACCAAAACAGTCAAATATTCAGTCGATGGTCAAGCAAGTCACACAGACGAGCGTTACTTGTTTTTTAAACTGAAATAAAATTGTAGTTTTGGTTTTTCATATTAAATATCATATCTATGAAAACAGTAAAATGAGGGAGTAATGTACACGTGTCAAGAGATATCACATGTGTTTCATCTTGAATTGGGTTTACAATCGACTAGTTCGCATTTCTTTTATAAGACGTGCAACGTTTACTTTCTTCATGGTTGCTTCTCTTACTGCTTTTATTTTGAAAGCAATAAATGGTAAGATCGAGACTTTATTTTCATCAGAAAATTTACTTAACGATTAAAACTAAAGACTTGATCGAGGATTACAGAAACGCTATAAATGCAAATAACCGATGGATGATTGATGACATCTTCGAATCTGAAAAACAATTTAGAGGTTTCACGATTTTTCGACGTCGAAAGAAACAAACCAGCGATAGTAATCTTGCCCACTTCATATACTTTGACATCCTTGAAGCGATAGCATGCCACAAATTATAGTGGGTGTCTGCTGATTATATATGAAAAATGAATGATTGATATGAACAGAGGTATAAGTATATGGACCAAAATCTTTGGATATTTCATTGTCTCAATAAGCTAATCGAGTGTTTACAAAACGAAAGTTTGAACCTGGTTTAATTAAATTAGTATTTAATCATAAACATAAACCTGTAGCAACTGTGTAAATTATTGTTAGCGATCATGGATTGTTTTCATCGACGGAGGATAGTAGTAGGTCTTTCACACAAGTTCGAGTTGAGTCAACAGTGAAATCATTATTATCTATATAGTTTTGACTAATTTCTTTGACAACAATTTCTTTAGCAGTATTTCAGAGATACAAGATGTCGTATGCTCATAATTTTCATGTAAAATTCGATAAGCAGTTCAGTACGAATCAGAACTTCAATCAGTGATACTTTGAGCTTGTTGACCACAATATAATTTCCTGTGGTATTTGATAGTGGTCGAAAAGTATTCGGAAAATCTTCTTACACATTGTATCAGAGTTTATTTCTTGAGAATTTTTTCTGCATTATTCAAAACTCTTCCACTTGCATGGTAACGCAGCCATCATCCAATAATATCTGAATGACAATGCCGTGTTGCTATATGTAAAAAAGTGTTCCTTGATCCTCTAATGGAGTAGCGATCGACGAAATAATCAAATATTTCTTGAAATATACTCAAATCATTTTAACAACATGCATTTTACAAAAATTCTTTTGTCTCTGCATCAAGCATTGCAGAGTATAGTAATTCAGTTTTTTCCTGATTTTCTTGAAGAAAATATGTTTTTTATTTCTTTCCTCCTTTTTATAACACCTTCACATGACTGTTGTTGATTACGTTCGGACTCTCTGCTTTTTTTTTACTACGACCTTCTTTTTTATTGCTGAAGTTTGTGACAGTATATTATCTCAGCAATCGCTCATGAGTAACATGATTAGTCCATAATTGTTTTTCAACGTTAAGGAAATAGAGTTACAATAACTTTAATTGTGAAATGTTTTTCATACTAGCTTAAGACCATCTCGTTGTTACATTTAATGGGATTGTTAATGATTCTTATTCTTTAAGATTTGCTACTCATAGGTTGTAGAACTCCGGAAAATAGCTGTCTGCGTTTTCCGGAGAATTATTATTATTATTTTTCACACAAAAAAATACGTTGATATCAGTAAATAGAGAAAAGACAAATAAAAGGCAGACGACAATAATATTGTTCAGACGAATTAAAAAGAACACAAAACATTTTTCAGCAGGTTTATGTCTTGTTACTGACTTTTGTATATCTAAAGAAGTATACTGGGATCTTATAGAACAACATAAAATATTTTCAATGATAAATTTGAAGGTGGATAAGAAAAAAATGGTTTTTTTAGATAAACAACTCATATCTAGAGATGTGGCGAAAGACTCATCTGTATCAGAGGCACTTTAAATAGTTGTTAATGATAGAAAATATACAAATCAGCTAATTATAACTTGTACTAAGATTTCGTCCCATCAGGCAAATATGAACAATGCCATAATCTATTTAGACACCATGTTGAATATTTAAATGATTTCAACAAACTATTTCCTAATATCGTCATGTCGCTTGATAACATCTTATTTATGTACTGACATATTCAGATCAATTCATTAAAATAGTTGAGCATCGGCTACGAAAATGCATTCAAATCGTTGTTATAGATATCTGTACTTTATTGTGAGTATTTGATGAGGATCAATTTTTCTATAAGTTTAACCATCGAAATGGTAAAGAAAAGTTCATTCTAGTAATACTTTCATATGAACAACATACCAGTTACAATTGTTGAAGTGCAACATGTTACTGATTTATATTCAATGCATCAGTTTAATCAAATATCTTTTAAATCAAAAATCGTGTAAGCCTTAAATATTCGACAACGCATGTGTTTAAGACTCTTGTTATTAATGTCTCGAAAACCATTTTATGCATTCACTGAATCACCACTCAGTATGATGGAGAACAAAAAATTCTTTTCAAAATAATTCTTATTTTTTCTCTATTTTGCTGAAGAATAAAACCTTGCCTGCAGACAAGTATACCGTTTGCCAGGTATGCAAACATACTCCAAAATTCATCAGGAAAAGGGTTTCTCTCTTTTTCATAGAATGGAAAAAAAATCGAGACTATAAAAAAACGAGTTGAAAGTGACAAATAAGTCATTTTCGAAGCTGTGTTGGTACCAACAAAATAAAAAGCATGTATTTTGACTGTTAGTTTTTGTATTAAAGCATCTGCACTACATTAGCAATTCTCATTCGAAATATGTATCGTTTTACTGATATAGAATCAACTCCAAAACGACTTACACCAGTCTACGGCTACTTAACGCATCAGTTATTATCTTTACAAAAAGCTCTTGAACCAATCTCGTCTCAGATTGATCAACTAGATCGTTTTAGTAAAATAGCTAAAAACGAATGTCACTTTCCTTCTGAACATGGACTTACTCGAGATGAATCAGCTGCTGTTTTTCTCTACACAATGGAATGGGGTGAGAGTAGTTTATATCAAGTAATTAATCGTACTCTTCGTGCCGAAGATCGATCAACATTGAAACCATGGTTTGGTTACCTCAAATTATTTGATACAGCTGTACAAAAGCTACCCACTGTTCAAAAAAATCTATGGCGTGGTACTGCAAGAAATATAGCGCAGAACTATAAAGCAGGTGATGAGTTCACTTGGTGGACCATCAGCTCATGTTCAACTACCGTTAACATTATCAAAGATTTTCTTGGATCCAACTCAACATTATTTTTGATTGAAGCTGTGAATGGAAAAGATATTTCCAAGTATACAAATTACCCAAGTGAAAATGAAGTTATTCTTTGTCCAGGTACTCGACTTCGTGTAGTCAGTGATCCTCTTGATCAGCCACCCATGCATGTAGTTCATTTACAAGAAGTTACTGACGAAACCGAAGATCAACTCACAACAACGTTCCATGCCATGGAAGTGACATCTCCCTCAAAAACTGAGTCTATCTCTAAAGCGAAAACTGTTCAGTCTTCACAAATTCAAATTGTTACTGATCAATGGGGTAATAGATATGAAACAGCAATTCATATATTATACAGGCGTAGTTGCTATTGCATATGTAGATGGCTAAGCAACACGCAATTACAGAATAATGATGAAGGAGAATTGAGGGAGGGAAAAAAGCATGGCAAAGGAAAAATGGATTATGCAGACGGTAACAAGTACATAGGCGACTGGGCCAATGACGTAAGAACAGGTCAAGGTGTTTTTATTTGGTCTGATGGTAGTCACTACGAGGGACAATTTAAAGATAACAATATGCACGGCAAAGGTACATTTGTTTGGGGACCTGATTCACGATGGGCAGGTCTGAAATACATAGGCGATTATATCGATAACAAAAGAACAGGACAAGGGGTTTACATTTGGCCTAATGGCAATCGTTACGAGTTGAGATATTCACAAATCACTCGTCAGTCTGTTCTTAATCGCTTCAGCTTATGTTAGTATTCTTTTTATGTAATAAAAGACCAGTTATTGGGACAATTTAAAGATAACAATCGACACGGCAAGGGTACATTTATTTGGGCACCTGATGCTAAAGGGACTTACGACAAGTACACAGGCGATTGGGTTGATGACATAAGAGCAGATCAAGGTGTCCATGTTTTTGCTAACGGTGATCGTTACGAGGGGCAATTCAAAGATGGGAAACAACATGGTAGGGGCAAATTGACGTATGCTAATGGCAAAATTCAAGAAGGAATGTGGTCGAACGGCACTTTTGTTGACTGAACGAACTGATTTGGCATTTATAGTATCTGATTGATGACTGAGTTTCTGCTTTGAATTGTTCGATAAGTGCTTTGTGTTTTGTTTCTCTTACGATAAAATTGCTCATACTTTAAGAATGGGAACATGTCGTTACTTTATTGAAGGATTGTTTGCAGATTTTCTCCTTATTCCTCATTTACTCAAAGAAAATAGAAAATGATATTTTTGTGAGATTTTCAGAGTTTTAGTTGATTTTAATATCAAAAGTTAGTTGATTTGTTGAAAAAATAAATGCCAATGAAAATCTTTAGAAGTGATCTGCAATGATCGACGAAAGAAATTCATCATCTCATGGCGCTACAACATATCATAACATCATGAGAATCGACGTATTATGTATAGAGTATTGCAACATGAATCACCTTTTGAATTGTATTGCATTCTACCATTACGTACCAGAATTTTAGGGTTTTCTTGCACATGTTAATCGATTGAGCTGAAATTTCGAGTCAAATAGAAGTTTTGCCGTAGTGATGATTTGACGTTTTCTACTAAAATTATACTAAAAATTGAACAATAGCTACTTGAAACCAAAATCCCATAAATACCTCGTAACTATTTCAAGTCAGTCTCTATTATGTACCATGTTAAAATCCCTTAGATGATACTATGGTTGTAGAAATCATTCCTCGAGACAGATCTAATCTACTTGCGAATGTAGATAGAAACTAAATTTCATAGGTGCTCGATCAATATAAAACTTGATGATACAAGTAATTACACTAAAATAAATATCATTGTAGTCAACAAAAGAAAGCTATGCTATTCTGAAATATGATACACCGCTAAAGATTATTTCGTACATAAAGAATCAGCATCAAGCTCTTAACGGGTTTGCAATAAGTTCTCATATTCATCCTTCATGAAATAATAAAATTCAACTGTAAATAGCTACAAAAAGGAATTATAAATAGTCGGATTCCTAAACGAAAACTTGTACAACAAATGAAATGAGAAAGTATTATTAGTAAAACTAATACTGAGATAAATCATCAATTGATTTTGCTTTTAATTCTGTGTATATAAACTTGTAAACATCGTGGCATACAATTAGAACTAACTGGTAGTTCTGTATATTGAAATAAAAACAGTCAAACTCGTTAGTATATTTATTCATGAAAATTTCTATAACTGTCAACTTTCTGAAAATGTAGTTTTGTCCTACTAGAAAGCTACAGACAAAATATAGAATTAGGTTTGAGTAAAATACTGGAGAACTAGAAGTATATATGAATAAGAAATCATCCATAGATGTGAGCAGTTGAATTCAATATAGGTAATGTTTTGATTAGCGTAAACCTTCTATGAAATGTCTACAATACCGTATGTCCCTCGCGAATACGAATTAATGTTCAGATGTTCATGAAATCGATATGTGTTATCGACGAATTTGAATTTCTATATTGCTGTTAAATTAAAAATTAATCGACATTAGTGATGTTAGTCCCTCTAACATGGACAGAAGAAAATCATTCATTCAAGTTATTATGAAAGACCAAAGCATTGGATTAATTTACTTTTAGATAAATCAATTGAGTAGACGGCTAATATAGAAATTCTAAAAGTCGCGAAGGAGAAGCAGTAGTCTTGCATTGAGTAAATATACTTCTACTCCATTCCGAATAAAAATATTTTTCTAATTATTTTCTTCAATAATTTTTTTTTAGTGTAAATTCTCCTGCAAAAACTATCACCAATCTTCACAAGATACAAACACGTTTTTTTAATCTACAATTCAAAGTATAAACAGTCTGTTGTAGGAATACAGTCATCTATTTCTGATATTTCAAATGTTCAACATAAAATATGTTTGCTTCTTATTTTTAATTACTTCCTTGATTACCTAGTCTCAATACACCATATTATGAACGTCTTTGCTTATATTGGCTTTTTTTTGTCTGTCATAAAAAATTTTGCTATTATAGATCATGATCTAATATTATCGAACTTTTCTTGTTTTGAATTATGAGTTATTCAAAATGATCATTTGTTTTTAGTTTTTAATAAATAAAAAAAAGTTACATATAAATATTTTTAATATTAGAATGAATTATATTGATACATTTAAGAATCTTGAGAAAAAGCATATATACTAAGGTACTGTTTTATCCAAGTGAATGTCGGTCGCTTATGTTTACTACAAAAGAAAATTTTTAATAAACAATATATAATCAAAAAGAAAATAATGAAGATTATGATTCCTTACTCATATTCCCAACATTTGAGCATTAAATCATAAATATGGTTTGGACAATTAGATGGTTGTTTCAAACGATTGTCATTCCGTAAAAATCTGAGTAATTTTTGTGATATAGACTCAAATAGCATACCTTGCATTGCTTCAAGTTCCTGATCATCCATAAAAACAAAATTGATTTTTTTTATAAATAAATTCATATTACTTGTTTATAAGGTGTTTGACCATAGGATGTAGCTTCCCAAACAGTAATACCAAATGACCAAATATCAACTTGAGAATGAAATAAAGGTGTTTCGAGAACTTCAGGTGGATACCATATTGATGGTAATCGGCGATTTTGTCCAATCTAGAACACAAAATCAAGTAAATATTATTTTATTTTAATAATTTAAAGAAGCCTAATTTACTTGATAGTATCTATTGTCTCCAAGAACACGTGATAAACCAAAATCTGATATTTTACAAACAGTTTTCGACATAATCAGTATATTTCTTAATGCTAAATCTCTATGAATTATATTTTTTTCATGTAAATAATTCATTCCATCACTAACTTGATACATATAATTAAGAATATAACTTATTCGAAATGTTCTACAAAGAAAAAAAAACAAAAACAAACGAAATTCTTATATTTAAACATATTTTTTTTCATAATAAAAAATATTACTTATTTAATCTTAGCCAACGATTCATTGCACCATATGGACATAATTCAAGTACAAGTGATATTGTTGTTTCATGTTTACATATACCAAATATTTTAACAATATAAGGATGATCTAAACTCAACATACGTTTGCCTTCATTGTATAATTCTTGAATAAATGAATTTTGTGTTTGTCGTAATTGTTTTATTGCAACGTGTTGTAAGATATATTTTGTTATACCATTATTATTTTCATCATTTCCAATCAATTTACCATGATACACTTCACCAAATTGACCTTCACCTAAATAAATATAAATTATTATTTATTTCCATAATTAGTTTCTACAAAAACAAGAAAACTCGACTTATGTAAAAAACAATGAAAAATATTCATGCATAGATTAACATAAAACATTAGACAGGTCGTATACTTGTAGAAATACTTTCATATATATAATTAATCAAACAAAGAGAATACTTTTTGTGTCTACTGACTTTTATAATTGAGTGAAAACATCATATTTGTTAATAGAATGTATAGGAAGCATTTATTTGGATGTTTTAAAAATAACTTTTTTTTTGCGTACCAAGTTTATCGCCCAAAATCAGATATTTTTCGTCGATAAAAGCATTTTCTATTAATGATGAATCATGATTATTATCACAGTCAAATGTTGATGCTGAGTTCGCAACATTGAAATCAAATGATGAAGTATTATTTGGATCATTTAACATCGGTAATGTTGGAGAGCTTAAATCTGTGCTACTACTTTCAGATTCTGTATTTCTATCAACTAAAAATAGAAATTTCATAAGTAAATATTTTAAATAGAAGTAGGTTAAACAACCGTCTAATAAGGTTCGATAAGGAACGATTCGTATCGATCCTAAACAAAAAAAAGGAAAATTAATTCTTGAAGAAAATTAGTTTAATTTATTTACCACCAGGACGATTACATGGATATTGAAGAGTACAAGCAAGATCTTGATGATTTCGATGATAAAAATCAACTAGCTATATCTATATATTACCAGCAACATTACTTTTTCTTAGTTTAGACATACCTGAGCAAGACTACCAAATTGATTAATACATCTCGATTTATTACTTGATGCTACTTGTAAACAGTCATTTGGCGTCTTCTGAATAATATAATGATGATATTCTTGTTGAAAACATAAACTTAATGAATAACCAGCACGAGATCGTTTATCAACTAGTTTTTCACGTACACTAAATATTAGATGAAAGTAAAAGATACATACATAATTAAATATCTACAGAAATAGGCCATTTTTTCTACCGGCGTTTTCAAGACGAACTTCTGCTTCCTGTCGACCAATGCAAGAATGAAACCATAACTCACTTTCATGTAATGTTCTTAAATTCAAAAAAAAAAGAAAAATAATTAAATTATACATTAATACAAAACGTAAACTGTTAATAAAAATACTTTAATACTCGTCGTTCATAAATATATCTTTTAGATGTTAATTTATCTTTAATTGGTATCTAGAAATAATCTAATTTTTTAATAATACAATTTCTTTTATCTCTTTTACTTCATCATCAGTATTTGAAGCTGCTTGAAAAATTTTATTCATATATAATTCTGGAGTCAGCAATGGTACACACCAGAATTGTATAAAATTGTAATTCTTATCAAAGAAAAAATAGAAAACATATAATTCAAAAAATATAGTAATCAAAGAATATCTCACAAATGGTCGTTGACATGGAATAGATAATGTTGTAACAAGTCGTTCAGCATGTTTTTGAAAATGATTAATTAATTCCATTGGTCCAGGAAATTCTATTTG